AGCCCAAACCAATTTCCATATTGGTTTGAATTGTTGATTCTCAAGATAACTATGACAATGAAGAATTTGAGAAGCCTCTATGCATCGTTATGAAATCGATTCAAAAGCAAGATAATGATTGACCGGTAACATTTTCTTTGTCCTATTACAACAACCTACTATACGTAGTCAGCTACGGCTGAATAATAGTTAATTATGTTAAAGAAATTGAGGATTATTATTATAGTTAACTAGGACCGTGTAATAGTTAACTATTATTGTGTTTACTCAAATGTGTTTTTATTTCAGGTAAAGTGACATATACGCTGCCTACCGAAAGTCTAGAAAGAGACGACTTGTCATGGCCTGATGAGAAGGAGGATGATAGAGTTTTATATATGATACATAACTATTGTAGTTAATTATTATTGCAATATATATTATAAGCAGTCAATATAGTAAATTATAACTAATGAACTATGTAGATCGGATAATAAACAACCAAAATTACTCAACTATAATTGCAAAATATATTGTAGTGCACTATAGTCGTAAACATAATATATTATAGTGGATTTTTATAAGCAGTCCATAAAGTCACTTACAACTAATAGTGAATACGCTTACAATAGTCGACTATATTAAACTTCAGTTCAAGACAGTAATATATTTTTAGGGATTTTTACCAAATGTTTTAATCACATCATTAATGACAATTTCATCAGAATGTAAAGAACTTAATGCTACTCACCTAATTTGCTTTTACTCACCTAATTTCAACTTCAAAACATAATATTCACCTAGTTAACCCTATTATCTATAGTAGATATTTCCATTTCAGATATTGTTATTCACATATAGAATAATTCACACGAGTAACCAAATAGATATTGAACACAATTGATTATAATATGTCGTGTTTTGTCAAATTTTCAAGCTATCGAAGAATTTACACTCGCAGTAGTATTAGTTTGACGCAATGTGTTAACGGCAAAGTCGACACTACAACATCAATAGACATTGAGAAACTTTTAGATAAGACATAATTTTTACTTGGTTAGTATGATATAAAACTGGATCCAAAGACCAATTCAATTATTTTTTTTTACTTGAATTGTAAATGGAAGTTGACAACAAAAAATCAAAAAAAAAATTGTAAAATAAACTTATTGTTAATGTTATAAATTGAATGAAATTATTGTCGACAAATGAAAAAAAAAAGAAATATATTGTTTCATATAAAGAAAACTAAACCGAAATCCATATTGAACATCATTAGTAATTTTTAACCACGAAATAAAAATTTTCTAATTGATTTGATTTCTAAAAAATATTTAACCATGTATAACGGGGGGAATCACCTAGTTCAAATTAAATATCAACACACAAAACATATTGAAACACAAAACTTTTGGGGTTTAGA